CACACACACACACACACACACACACGCACACACACACATTCACACACACTCACTCACTCACTCACAATCCATCAATCAATCAATCATTCAATCAAACCCCTTTTTTGTTTATTTATTTTGAAATTTTGCGTCTGCATTTTTTTAAAACACCTCATACCCCTGCAAAAAACAGAAATTAATTTCTCAAAAAAAATACAGGTCAACTCAGGGATCATATGTCTCATGATAAAAAATGACAAAAAAAAATTTCTGCTTTTCTTTATATATATATTTTTTAATTTTCTTTAAATTGACTTTAGTTTTTGATTTTTTAAAAATCCTAAACAAAGTCAGATTCCAAAAACAAAATATGGGGTTGTAGGGCTTAAAATTCCCTACAACCCCTTTTTTTTTTTACCTATTATTTAATTCAGGAAAATTCTGGTAAAATCGGGTCCGCGACGCGGACTAGGATAACCGCGGACGTGGCCACATATGCGGCCACCATCCGAGATCAGCACCGCGGACGCGTCCGCGGGTGTTTCATAGTGTGCTTGGAGTGGCTTGGTCGGTATAGGTGTCTGGAGTGGCTCGGTCGGTATAGGTGCTTGGAGTGGTTTCGTGGGTAGGTGCTAGGAGTGGCACGGTGGGTAGGTGTTTGGAGTGGCTTAGTGGGTAGGTGCTAGGAGTGGCACGGTGGGTAGGTGCTTGGAGTGGCTCAGTGGGTAGGTGCTTGGAGAGGCTCCGCGGGAGGTGGTTGGAGCGGCTCGTTCGATAGGTGGTTGGAGCGACTCAGTCAGTAGGTGCATGGAGTGGCTCGGTCGGCAGGTGTTTCGAGTCACTCGGTCGGTAGGTGCTTCGAGAGGCTCGGTTGGTAGGTGCTTGTGACTCCCTAACCTCACGCCCAGCAAGACTTCCTGATCGGAGTAGGATGTGGGCCTGGAAGTGCGAAAAGGGGGTGTGCTAAGGATTTTTGGAAAAGTGGGGGTGGAGTCCCAGGTCGGAACTGAGATCTCCTGTGGCAGAGTTTTCAGGGGCACGGGTGCAATTTGGTTGAGAGGGCGGACCGCTTCCGGTCATAAGGCTGATAGCATGCGCGGGTCACTCAAGGTCGTTCGATCCGTCTATTTTGATGACGGCGGTTCAGCGAAGGGTCCATCCGGGGTAGGTGTGATTCTGATGAGTCAGGCCGTCGGATGTCGCCACGTGGTGCTGGTCGTCGCACGTTCGGGTTAGGCCCCTGGGTTCCCGGGGCTCTCTGGTTGCCGTGCCGCCGGCAATTTCCGCAGGGCGTGCGGGGCCAGTATGGGGCTATGGCGTTCCACGGGACGACCCTGAGTTGATGATACGGGAGAAGAAGACGGAAGGGAGGGAAGTTGGTGGAGATAACGTTGAAACCAGGGGAAATGAACTAGTGTATGTGGTCCGAAGTGGGAAAATCCGAGCACCGTGGATCGCTGGTTGTGGCAAAGTGGAACTCCCTACGACACAGTCGATTCTCGGTTAGGCAGGGGAACCTCTGTTGGAGGCACTCTTCTCTCCAAGGGGTGAAGTATTTTGGGTCCCACGACGAGTCTGAGGCCCAGGAGCGTGTCATTTTGTCATCGTGGAGCCGCATAATTCCTAAGTGCGTGTTTGTCCGTGCCTATCCTAATATTCGAATCGGTTGCGAACTGCCATGTGTGAGTACGTGTAGGCTGCGCGACTTGGATTACACTTACACGTATTCACTCAGGGTGATCGCACCGCTTCATACAAAATGTTCACAAGTCCAATCATTCAATTATTCCCGCAGTCGTGAGTTATTTTATGCATGGGTGATCGCAAATTGACGCTCGGGAATGCGTACAGGTTGCGCGAGTCACATCGAGCCTATGCGCATTGCCGATGTCTGGATTGACAACTACCCAATCATCTAATTAGTCCGTAGTTACGCAATCATTCCTGGGTGTGCAAGGTGCTCGAAAGAACAGAATATCCGGAAATGGAAGCAGTTTCGATGACTACGCCAAAGTTCCTACCATGCTCATGAGGAATTCCAAATTGATCAAGCAAAGCAAAGATCCGGCAAAAGACAAACAACAGACACAACATACATTCATTCATTAGACAAAGCATACAACAAGTGAGATCAAGATCAACCACAAAAATGAGTATGCACCGAAATCAATTCAAATTTCCGAAGAGAAGAAAAACGGGCGAATCACCCAGAGCCGAGATCAAAACTTATATACACCAGTAAAGAGGGAGAAAAGACAAAGAAAACTGCAAATCCACGCCCATCAACTTCAGCTCCCTCTTCCTTTCTCTCTCTCTCTCTTCGATGCGGACAGTCCGTCATCACGCACCAAACCACGAAGTCGTCACCCCGCTTAGTCCTCCCGCACCCGTCAGGTTCGCCCGCGCCCACAGTCCGTCGTGGCCCGGGTCAACCCCGCGCGTTCGGCACCAGCTCGTCGGGTTGCTCGACTCCCACTTCACTCACCTCGTACTTTGCTCGTGAGCCGACCCTCACTGATCGCGCTACCCCGAGCTTCCAACAGCTGGTTAAGAGAGCTATCTAATCGCACAGTCGGAATTTATAGCGTGCATGCATGCTCGAAGAACACGAGATTGCAAGGACTAAGGAAGGGATTAGGGGAGGGAGCGCCTACATTCTGCATGACCAGACCGCGGCGTGGGGGACTTTGCCTCTCTTCACGCATCGATCCGATCATGCAGTCCGCAGGCTGGCTGGACACAACAAGAAGAAGCGAAGGCGGGAAAGACGAAGCACAAGAAGAAAGATACAGTTACAACCGCGCCCGCCCAAAATTACAGTTACACACATGATTAAGGGCCCTGACTAATCAGAGTTCCGTTGCAGCCGCAAAAAGAAGCGCATATGCAAAAAGCGCTGCGCGGCAAAAGAAAATCCTCCTTACAAAATTCCTAAATTCCTACCTAGTGCAAGAAGCACAATTTCTGAGAAGAAAGTCCGAAATTTCGAGAGTCGGCGGGGGCTCGACAAAATTCAAAAAGGAAATTAAAAAAGAACGAAGTAAAATTCCCACGCGATGTCCGCGCCCAAAATCCGACGACAGGACACCCGAAAATGAAAAGGAATGTCGTCAACCAAAATTATTTGCGCGCTCGCGGCGGCGCAACACCCATCAATCATTTTCGGGACCTGCCCGGCCTTGAACTCAGCCATCCGAAATAGAACCGACGCAAAAGGCGAAGAAGCGAGGACATTGATGCAATTTCCCATCCATCCCGATCTCCCGTAATCGGCCCATCCTTCCCAGCTTAGGACCCCTCGTCGCTACCGCGCAAGAAAACCTTGCGGTGCGGAAATCGGTTCGTCACATATGTGTCGCCCAGGGGGTTCCAATCTTAAGCAAGCTCCTGCTTGCTTGAAACTTGACACGTGTCGATTTCTCTAATCGACCGAGACGCGGAGCTTTCTTCGTTGCCACTTACCGTGTGAAGGAGTGTGGAAGTCATCCAACGTGGCATGCAAGCTCTATCTTACAATTTCCTCAGGAGGGCTCTCGTAAATCCAAGGAAGGATTATTCGTGGCACGCACACCAATCATCCGATCATTAATGTCCACCGGGGAGGGGAAAGGAAACCGATACATTGGGGCATGTTGAGGGGGAGGGTTGATCGGGAGCGGGGGTAAGAATTGTTCCACCTGAGCTACCGTTTTCGGGAGCTCTTGGTAACGGATGATCCTATGGAAGCGGGGGAAGCGATTACCGGTATGGGGGAGGGAGGCGAGATAGTCGGGATACAGGGTGGTAAAGGTGCGGAGGAGTGTCGCGCAAAAATGATCGTGGTTTTCGCATGAGGGGATAGTTCCCGTAATCATGCAATAAACTTCGATCATGTTGTGGCCTCGCCACGCGGCAGTAAAAAGAAGGGTGTGGAGGCTGAAATCGGGGAGGGCTCATCGGGTTGAGGGGTGACGATGGATGGTAGCAACAAGACGGGTGACGTAGAAGAACCGGACGGTGTCGATGGGAAAGGGGTTGCGGGGGAAGGTGACACGGGTGGTGATTTGTCGGAGGGTGAGATGGTCAAGGGGACGGCGTGATAATAACCGGGGACGAAGCCCGATGCCCCGCATCAGTACGGGCTCGAACTGATGCGCGGCCGGAGGTGGAGGGGGGGGGGGATCGGCTTTGTCGCCGCCTCGCTGGTGCGGTCGAAGTCTCGGCCTGTTCTCCATCTCAGGCTTAGGCGGCTCTGGATCGTGGGCCGGATCGTCGGTGATCGGAAAATTTGCCGCGCTGGCGAACTCCAGCTGTCGTTTCCCGGCCGCGATTTCGTCTCGTTTGCGCGCCGCTTCGGGATCTTCCGCCTGCTGCGCTTCTGTTCGCTCGAGTTCCTCCGCCGAGATCTCCCACTCAGACTCCTCTAGTTCCAACTCGCCTTCTTCCTCTTCCTCCTGGTCTTCTTCTTCGTTTTCTTCCTCCTCCTCGCTCTGCTCTCCCTCGCTATGCTCGCTGTAACTGCCCTCCTCCGGGGTTTCGTCCTCGTCCTCTTCGGCAGCCTCTTCTTCTTCTTCTTCGACGATGCTTTCTTCCTCGATCACTATCTCTTCGTCCCCGGAGGCCGCCCGATCTTGGAAAAAGGCGAGATCAATGATCTCCCGCGGGTTCAGATAATCCCGCTGCGATGGCGGGTTGCGGCTGCTTCCCGGCTCTTCCAGGCACGCCGACCACCGAAGGTACGGCGTGAAAGTCCGAGTGAGGACGTGTGGAACGGGGCTTTCGTCACTCTGCGAGATGATCTTGAGAGGGAGATCGTCTACCAACTGCGCCAGGGGGACCGTGAGCTCCTACACAATTAGCTGGCGATGGCTGGGCCGCACCGTTCCAAAGAGAAATCCGAGAAGATCGCTTTCTACGTCCGTCTGCCAGGCTTGGATGATCAGTAACTCCAGGTACTCGGCCCACTCACGATGTTCCTCATCCCTTGTCCACTTAAGCCTCTCTCCGACCAGGCACACCGAAAGATCAACGAAATGCTCGCACCACAGCCGCCACTGCCTTGGATCCAGAAGGGGGACATCGAGCGGTTCTAAATAGAAGGAGAAGCGAGGATGGACTCCGGACTGCCAGAAGGTGGGGAAGAGGGATGGGAGAGTGAAGGTTGAAAGTCGAGAATAGTTCATTGAGGATGGGGGAAGGGGATGAGTTTGGGAAGCCGCTAAAATAGTGGAAATAGCCTTCGGCTGCCAGTCCATGATGAGAATCAACTGCTTCGAGGGGTCTGGTCGGATCAAAATAGGTACCATTGCCAGAGCTTCCTTGAGGGTTGCGAAGGCCTGCTTGCACTCCGCGTCCCAACTGAGGGGCTGGTCCTTCCGTAGCAGGTTCGTTAAAGGTTGCGCGATCGCGGCGAAGCCTTTGATGAACCGCCAATAGTATGAAGCCAGTCCCAAGAAGGCTCGAACCTGCGTGAGCGACGTGGGAACAGGAGCTTCCAACACCGCCGCAACCTTTCTCGAGTCAGACCGCAGTCCTCCACGTGTCACGATGTAGCCTAGGAATGAAATTTCCGAGAGAAAGAATTCGCCCTTTTCGAGCGCAATCTTGAATCCGGCATCTCGTAGCGCGCCCAATGTCCACTCAATGTGTTGTGCATGTCCATGATAGGTTTCCGAGTAGACCAGGATGTTGTCCATATACACGATGACGCAGAAGTTGATCATCCCTTGTGTGAGCCGCGTCTTGTTGACGAAGTTCTGGAACGTGACATTCATAGCTCGCTAAAACGTAGCCGGCACGTTGCATATACCCATCGGGCACTGAACCCACTGCCACGTGCCTTCAAACAACACGAAGGCCGTTTTCGACCGATCTTCCTCCTTAACCAGAATGTGATGGAAGCCATGCCGAATATCAAACTTACTAAAATAATTAACACACCCAATCGCATCCAGCAAATCATCAATCCGGGGGAGGGGATACACATCTTTGATCAAGATGTCATTCAACTTGCGATAATCGATGCATATGCGAATCGATCTATTCTTTTTAGGTACTAATACTACTTCGGTGGCAGGCTCAACCCATCCGCTTGCTTCGAATTCTTGAATCCATTTGAGAGCCTTCTTCCGTTCCATCAGCGAGTATCTGTACGGTTTGCAGTGAATTGGGGAATGATTTCCTGTCTGAATCTCGTGCTATATGACTAGCGACAGTCCAATATCTGTGTCCGTCACACTAATCGCTTCTTTATATTCCTTTACAATGTCCGCGATTAAGTGATGGATCTCATCAAGCACATATTGGGGCACGTGCAGCTCGTAGGGTTCACCCCATATTCTTACATCGATGTGTTTAGTGTTTGCCCACCTAGTGTTCTCCGGCGGGGGCGCAGAGATAAACGAGTTATCCGACCACCACGAAAACAACGTGACCATCATTTGTGCATCCTGTTCTCAGATGGCGACGCGTTCTTCCGGTGTTACCCCGTCTCGAATGTCTTGCCAGGGCACAGGTTTGGTTGCGATCTTATTTCCGAGTCCGCTTTCGAGGCGCTCAGGGGGTTCCAAAGAGTCGACCTCTGCCCCAATCGTAACAATCGGACTTCTTTTGCAGGTGTCAACAGAGACTTCGGGAGATCTGTGATATCGTAGTGTCATTGTATCGGGTGAGAAGAGGGGAGATCTCTTCGTACACGGTTTGAGGGGGTTCCAAAGAGTCGACCATCCTCAAAATTTGTACGAGAGGTTCTCCCATAATCATCGCATTTGTTCTCCGTAAACTTGGGTTAATTCTGCTTGGAGCTTTGTCGTTCGTTCGGTGTACGGGGTAGTAGATATGCTCTCGTGCCATTTCCAAAATTACGGGATCGTCATCATCATCACTATTTTCTGCGTCCTCGGATGTATGCCCGTTGTCCCAGGTAATCACGCGGGGAGTCCCCGTCATCACAGGGGAAACTCGTGGGGCTACATTAGCCGTGGTTCGCGGAGTCAGTCTCATTGGCACAACATAGGGTTTTCCTCTTGTATTTCGGAGGATGATCGATCGTCTTTCAAAATCCAGATTGGCTCATAGAGCTACTAAAGCGGGAAGACTAAAAAGAACGTCGTAGGTATTAACATCCAATTCACCCAAAGCGTGCACCTTCCCCAATCGAAAGGCAACATTGGTCATCCGTCCCACCGTTTTGATCTTTTCTTCGTCTGTTGATACGAGTTGATCTCTTTCTGTGAGTATGATCAGATCGTTCTTTCTCCCTGCTCTTTCAACTACTCGCAGCGAGATAGCCAAAACAACAGCTTCTGAGTCGATGATGGCATTGTATGGAACTCTCCAAACCTCAATGTCACATTCCGCGGATTTTCATGGGATCGGTTTGATCCGCAGGAAGTGATCATCTTTCTGTATCAGTCCTATGTGAGTGGGATCGGAAGGGCCTGCGGCATTTTCGTCTGGAATTGGTCCCTTCGTTTTCGTGTTTGTTGTTCGGGCAAGAGCGAATCGTTCCCGATTTGCTTTGCAGTGTTGCAACACTCGTTCGTTAGCCTGTTCCGATATAGAAAGCGGATGACCGATTGGAAGAGAAATCCAATGGTCTAATGCTCGGATGATGTTCATACATCGATCTCGACAGTGACGAAGGTGGGTCCTCCCGACTCCATCTCTCCTGGAGAAGGTCGCCACTCCGCCACCTCTTTCTGTTTTGGCGCAGGTCTAATCGTTCCAATCATCCCTAGCCCTGGATATCCAAGCGATACATATTGATCCAACGGAATGAGCTCAGCAGCCTCTTCCGTGGTAGCTAACGCACCACTTTCGCCCTCTATTTCTTCCATCAGGGCTCCTACCCGTCCTGGTCCATTAGCGATGGGAGCCGCTGCCACAGGAGGCTGGAGCGACCCCGACCCTCGGTTGTGAGGGTTGATGGGGACAATCTCGAGCTCGATGCCCAGGTTGATGGCATGTGTAATAGACGTTCAGATTGCTCGCAGCCCCTCCGAGAACAGGTGCCGGAGCCAATCCTTGTTGGATCGGGGCGGCGCGTACTGCGATGAGTCGCATATTCCTCATTATAGCTTCCAACCGAGCATTACGTTCTCGTTGTTCCTTTTTGCTTTCCTGGATTGGGCTAATTAGCGTTTTGGTTAGTTCCAAAATGGCGTCGATTCATTCGACCTTGCAGGGTTCTCAACCGGTGGTGGGGGTGCCGTCATTACAGGTGCTGGCATCGCAGGAATAGGGACGCTCGTGATCACACTCGGGGTCGGTCGTTTAGGGGCTATTTGTTCCAGATAGGTAACAAGGCCTGACACAAACCCCATGTTTTCAAACTTGTTTTGCAACGCGGCCAGCTCGGCTTTTGCCCTCGCAAGTTCGGACGAGTCTCCTTCCTTAGGATAGTCTTCTCCTTCTAGGAAACTCCCCGCGAACTTTCGTTCCATTTCCTCTGCAGCGGCCATAATCTGTTGCAGCATATGATTGATGGGGGAGAACTGTTTTCACAGTGTCGCCCTTATTGTTCGGCTGAGAAGTCCATCGATAAACAAATCTTTCCCTACTTGCTCGCCCCGCTCAGTTTTCACAAACATTCGGTAGAACCGGTTTCGATATTCTGCGATAGATTCGAGAGGTTTTTGCACCCGGTCCTTAATCATGAAGAGCGTTTGCTCTGGATGGACATAATCGAATCGATTCAAAAAATCTCGCTCGAAAGTCGGAAGATCCACCCATACATAGGTATTAAACCAATGATGAGCGTCTCCTCCTAATCGGACGGGAATGCTTACCTAAGCTTCGTTATCGTCATACTGCTGTGCCCGGAGCGTGGCCAACCATGCTCAAACGAGATGATGTGCAGGGTCAAACAGATACAGATCAGGTGGCGTTATGGGAGCCCGTGCTCATGGGGCAGGTTGATTATGATTTTTTTGTTGATTGGCATTCTGTTGCGAATTCGGATTCTGTGGATTTGCATTCATGTTATCTACCCGTCGATTAGTCGAACTACTCGTGGTGATGACGGGGTCGCGTCTGTGCGCGTTCCGGGGTCGAGGTCGCCCTCGGTTAGCTAGATTGCTCAATTAGCGTGCTGTTAATCCTTATAACTCCGCCACGTGTTGGGCTCCGATACCAACCTCACGCCCAACGCGACTTCCTGATCGAACTAGGATGTGCGCCTGAAAGTGCGAAAAGGGGGTGTGCCAAGGATTTTTGGGAAAGTGGGGGTGGAGTCCCAGGTCGGAACTGAGATCTCCTGTGGCAGAGTTTTCGGGGGCACGGGTGCAATTTGGTTGAGAGGGCGGACCGCTTCCGGTCATAAGGCTGATGGCATGCGCGGGTCATTCAAGGTCGCTCGATCCGTCCGTTTTGATGACGGAGGTTCACCGAAGGGTCCATCCGGGGTGGGTGTGATTCTGATGAGTCAGGCCGTCGGATGTCGCCACGTGGTGCTGGTCGTCGCACGTTCGGGTTAGGCCCCCAGGTTCCCGGGGCTCTCTGGTTGCCGTGTCGCCGGCAATTTCCGCAGGGCATGTAGGGCCAGTATGGGGCTATCGCGTTCCACGGGACGACCCAGAGTTGATGATACAGGAGAAGAAGATGGAAGGGAGGGAAGTTAGTTGAGATAACGACGAAACCGGGGGAAATGAAGTAGTGTGTGTGGTCCGAAGTGGGGAAATCCGAGCACCGTGGATCGCTGGTTGTGGCACAGTGGAACTCTCTAGGACACAGTCGATTCTTGGTTAGGCAGGGGAACCTCTTTCGGAGGCACTCTTCTATCCAAGGGGTGAAGAATTCTGGGTCCCACGACGAGTCTGAGGCCCATGAGCGTGTCATTTTGTCATCGTGGAGCCGCGGAATTCCTAAGTGCGTGTTTGCCCGTGCCTATCCTAATATTCGATATTGGTTGTGAACTGCCGCGTGTGAGTACGTGTAGGCTGCGCGACTTGGATCGCACTTACACCTGTTCACTCGGGGTGATCGCACCGCTGCACACAAAATGTTCACACGTCCAATCATTCAATTATTCCCGCAGTCGTGAGTTATTTTATGCGTGGGTGATCGCAAATTGACGCTCGGGAATGCGTACAGGTTGCGCGAGTCACAATGCGCCTGAGCGCATTGCCGATATGTGGATCGACAACTACCCAATCATCTAATTAGTCCGTAGTTATGCAATCATTCCTGGGTGTGCAAGGTGCTCGAAAGAACAGATTATCCGGAAATGGAAGCAGTTTCGATGACGACGCCAAAGTTCCTACCATGCTCATGAGGAATTCCAAAATGATCAAGCAAAGCAAAGATCCGGCAAAAGACAAACAATAGACACGACATACATTCATTCATTAGACAAAGCATACGACAAGTGAGATCGAGAGCAACCACAAAAATGAGTATGCACCAAAATCAAATCGAATTTCCGAAGAGAAGAAAAACGGGCGAATCACCCAGAGCCGAGATCAAAACTTATATACAACAGTAAAGAGGGAGAAAAGACAAAGAAAACTGCAAATCCATGCCCATCAACTTAAGCTCCCTCTTCCTCTCTCTTTCTCTCTCTTCGATGCGGACAGTCCGTCGTCACACACCAACCCACGAAGTCGTCACCCCGCTTAGTCCTCCCGCACCCGTCAGGTTCGCCCGCGCCCACAGTCCGTCGTGGCCCGCGTCAACCCCGCGCGTTCGGCACCAGCTCGTCAGGTCGCCCGACTCCCACGTCACTCACAACTTGCTTCGCTCGTGAGCTGACCCTCACTGATCGCGCTACCCCGAGCTTCCACTAGCTGGTTAAGAGAGCTATCTAATCGCGCAGTCGGAATTTA